TTAAAGTGACTGTGGAAATTAAGTGTATTGCAAAGTTGTATTGAGAAAGAATAAACTAGCTTTATTTAAGAAAGGACTTGTATCGCTTAAGTTTCATCGGAAAGAAATTGTACAGGAAATTAATAAAAGAGACATACCACTATCTTTAATTTTATTCAGCTACATTTTAATTAAACTTTAATACACAATTCATTGTTATATTTTTTATTGTTTTTAATTAGCTGAATAATTGTGGATTCTTCAAACACTGAGTTTGTATCATTCTATGAACAGTGGATCTACATCAAAATGAAATCAACAGTGATTGAAATAAACCTCTTATGCAGTTTGTCTGGACTACCAGAAGTTACTTGGTATTGGAGACAGAGATAAGGCCTCTGGTTTATTTGCTACTCCTGCCAGTACCCAGATCAACATTTCTGTTGCTGTACAGAATGAAGCAGAGCAGGGCTACAGAAAGTTGCTGAGAACTGCCTACTTCATGGCTGTCGACGGATTACCACTGTCCACTTTCAAGACTTGTGAGAGCGCAGAAAGGAAACAGAGACAAGTTAATCCAAGAAACAGAAAGCAGTAACAGAGTTAGAGAATTTGTTCATGAAATTGCAAATGCCATCCTTGCAAAGTTATCATCAATATTTTGCTCTTATACTGCATTTTCTGTGCTCATTGATGGAACACAAGTGAGAAAGAGCTAGCCATGGTTAGGGCTGTAAAGACTGGAGATCCTGTGTTCTTGTTGCTGCACTGGAAAAACATACAGTTATAGGGATGCATCTGCAGAAAATCTTCACAAGTCAATGGATATCACTCTTAAAATCAAGTTGAAGATCCCCCATGATCAGTATACCAGAGCTTTGGTGTCAGCTACTGCTGATAGAGCATCAGTGAATACAGGTGATACAATGAGCACAGTTCTTATGACCTTTTAGTTTTTATTAAACTGGAAATTTATATATAAAAAATATTAGAATAATTTTTAAAAAGTGATGAATAAGTTGAAAGTTCCTATACACTATTGGTAATTACTTGATCACAAAATGAACAAATTACACGCTAAAAGCTTAGGTAAAGTTCATTATGGTAGAAAACCTTTGTGGAAATTATTTTGTTTCAGGTGCAGGGTAATGCATCTAATATAAAAACTAAATATTTTTTTTTGCAGGAATCTATAATCGTCTTCTGGTGAGACTGCAGAAAACTGAACATCCCTGGCTTATTTTGATCCACTGTGTCACACTGGTTGGAACTGGCAGTAAAGGACATCCTGATGAAGGTGGAAGCTTTTGACCAAGTGAAGGATCTGATGATCACCATTTAACTCCTGATGAAATGATCTGGGAAATTCAAGAGGCACTTTTAAGAAATGGCAAGACCACAGGAATGTCAAATATACAAGTTCCCAAAAATCCAATGAATATGCTTTGTAGGCCATAAAAGAAAGGGTGTTTGCATACTGTTCAATAGCTGGATTTCCCTTAAACAGACAATTGAGAATTCCATTGCAAACTACATGCACAGTAAACTAAACTCCAAGCTGAAAGGTATCCTGAATAAACTGGGAAGTTTCTAGTTTCTTGCCACCAGCTGTCTGCTCTATGAGATCCTGGACATATAGTCTCCTCTCTGTCACTGATGTTTGAGAGAAGAGAACTTCATGCTTTCAAGGTGTTGCTAACCATCAAATTGACAAACAGAAGAATTCAGGACCTACTTGAAGATGAAGACTCTGACTCACTTGTGATGAAAGCAAGGTACACCATCAATGGCAACAAGATTTTGTGATTTTCCCAAAGAGAGCCACATGAGAAAAAGTGTAGAAAACATGGAGTTCACATCAGCCACTTTGGACAGAATGATGGTGGCACTGTTACAACTGATACTGACAAGTCAGATATGCACAAACAGAAAGTTGTTCCAGGTCTAATCCAGCACCTTGATGAGCAATTCAGCTCTTTTGACAATAACCAGTATAAAAACATGTTTTGGGTAAATCTAAGCAAATGGAGGAGTGATGTAGCATCAGAATTTGAGTTCCTAGAAGCTATTGCTGACCAGTTTTCAAATCCACTGGAAGCTGCTGGCTATGAAGCAAGCAAGATCAAGTGAGAGTGGAAGACCCTGAAGATTTTGCAGAAGAGCTTCTACCAAGGAGTAGGGACCACAGATCCCTGGGGAGCACATTTTACAGTAGAGGCAGAAGGAGTTGCCTCATTTTCTTTGGAACAGCACCAAAGCCCTGGGTGGATTCCTGCATCTCTAGCTTGCGTCGCTTGGATGCAATAAAATTGTTTAGAGCAGCTTTGATTATTTCTTCGTGTTCTGCCTCTTACCAGGCTTGATGGTTGGCTTTTATTACAAGGAGGTCTTGAAAATTCTGAAAAGTTACGTGCGTTTCTGCTAAAGTCATCCATTTATACCCACCCGAGTGGGTTAAACAACCATGGAGACTCCAATTTTCTGTTCTCATAATAAAGGTCTTATGTTTATCTTTCACCTATGTGAATTTGAAAGTAGCTTCTGAACTGTAAATATTATTTTAAATTTTTGTATTCCACAACATCTTCGAAGTAATACTATTACTATTAGTAATATACTTGATGATCTTTGTCAAGTTAGTGGGTAGACAACCCAGGATACAACTATTTCTTTTATTTTTCTCATTACATTTTTTAGGGGGAAGGGGAATTTTAAACAAACAGAACAAGATAATTTGTTTAAACATTTTGATATATTCCCCATTTTGCTGCTTATATCCTCAGTTTTTGTAATATATATATTTTTAATGATGTAACCTATTTGTTAGCTAAAGAGAGCTATGGTTTGTTGATGGTGTAATATGATATTACATTCATGTTAGCTCTAGAAACCTCTAGCCCAAAGGTAGCTTATAAAATTATATTCCATGAAGTCTTGTGAAGTTAGAGTTGAAATACAAAGAAAATGAGTTGAGATGAAAGAGTCATCACATTACTTAGTACAATTTTTCCATAGGCCAAAACAAGTTAGAACTGTTTAAAAGTGGTTTAAGCTTGTAGAAATGTTTAAAGGAGGAAATAAACTGATATCATCTCATTAAGTGAACAGGATATTGAACTATTTTTCCCTGATAATTTAAAATAACCAAACAACATTAAAACACTCATGTTAGAGAAGGACATTATTTCTGGGGAAAATAAAATAGAATTTTGAACACACTTGAATTGAATTCCAACTTTGAATATGATAACTACAAGGTTAAAGTACGAAAGTGAATCATTACTTGAGATGATGAAATTATTAAGATAAGATCAAGAGGAAAGAGACAGAATTAAGAGATGAAGAAAGAAACAGAAACAATGCAAACAGCAGGTAGAAATAAAATTTCAGCAAAAGTGAAGTAGGAAGTTACCCTTATTGTAGGAAACTCCTGATGTGTAGTTAATTGACATTTAGGAAGAATGCATATTGCGAACTGAATTCATGAGGAGACATGGATGCAAGGTTAGGCTAGCTTCACAGCTAATGACCAGGAAATCCTTATGAACTACTTACAAGTTAATACACAAGAGGTAAACTTCCAGAGGAAACAAGGAGAGTGGGCAATGTACCACCAAGAAGTGATATCCTCAAACCAGGAGTTATTTGAAATAATTCTTCATCTTGTGACTAGAATGTAGTGGAATCAAATACTCCATCATGTCATGAAGGATTAGTGGTTGAAAGAGCTCTCCTTGATGTGAAGAATAAAGATGTTGTATATGACTTAAAAAAGAAAAGACTTAAATTGGCTTGTGATAAAACGAAAAATAATTATGCTGCAAGTGCTGATAAAACTGGATTGCATGAAGGTTACATGATGTGGCTGAACAATTCTCATTGCAAAGGAGGTCAAACTTTAAAGTTAAATAGGTGTTGGAAGGTGAGACAATCTAAGCCAAAGAACATTCACCACAATTGTCTTTGGAAATGCACTGGTGAAAGAACAGCAAGCTGATTAACTCCAGAGAAGAACTTATGAGCAGTACTCCAACCTGCTGAGAAACCCAGAGACCCTGGCAAAACTACTTCCAAAGAATCATCAAGGATGAAGCCATTGGATTCACCCTATCACTTACCCAGAAGGAACTCTCAGCAACAGGACAGATAGTGACAAAAAGGGACAAGGCACCACCCTCTCCATAAACCATGGGTCTTGGTTTATAAAAACATCAAAAAGACTTAAAGAATGGTCATTTTATTTTTAATGTAGCATTTTTTAATTATGACTGTTCAAGGGACCTTACTATCCAGGAAGGGGCAATGTTGCAGCCTATATATTTTTAATGTTGTAACTTATTTGTTAGCTAGATGGTTCTTTAGGTTTTTGATGATGTAATGTGACATTAACTAAAAGTTCACGTTAACCATAGAAACCTCCAGAACAAAGATAGAGTATAAAATTGCGTTTCGTGAGGAGTCAAGCTCGAGTTGAGACATAGAGCGAGTTGAGATAAAAATGTTAACAATAACATGCTTTTCTGTACAAGTTGATTTTACATGAACCTAAACATACACGTTTCAAGAATGAAATAAACTTATTGCGTCTCATTAAGTTGAATTACGTTGAATTACTTTCACCCGCTAATTTTAAAGTACCCTCTAATGATAAACAAAACAACAACGTCATAATATTGTCAATAGTCTGTAATAATGTATACTATAGTAATTATTAGTATACGGAAACGAGAACATGCAAGTGCAGCCTGCATATCATTACTGCGAGTGTGCTTCTTTAAGTTACAATATAATTATAAGTCGGAAAAAAATATAGATATCTATATCAGTTAAAGTCACACTGTCTGAAGCTTGAGAAAACACTTTTTCGTTACAATTCCGATATAAATTTTTACTACTTTCACACAAAAGTTAACCATTATTAAATGATTAATGCCACTCTTGCAAGTATCCATAATATTAATAACGGCTTACTAGTTACACACAAACAAAAATAGAATGAACACTTAAATTATAATACTCACGCATTATTTTTGGTATCGATATTCCCTAACCCAGGCATGGTACTCTTCTTTTCTTGTCTCTTTCTCTAACGTACAGAGTTAAATGGAAGTAAAGAAATAACTTTTCCAACCACCAACACCAGTAATACTAATAGCCAAAAGTATTAGTATATACCTTTACCTTCGAGAGTAATATATTTCACCATCCTGCGTAGGAATACTAATCTCTGATGCTTTCAACCTGTTGCGTATGTTCAATTATTATTTATTCAACTTTAGAACACATGAGTATAATAAATATGACTTATTAAGGCATTCAATCGGGGTTTTCCAAAAGATCAATCATATTTCATGTTGTATATATATATATATATATATATATATATATA